GAGTGCCAGATATACGGGTCTGGTCATTGAAACGGTTAAGCCGGTGACCTCAAAAGTACCTTGACATGGAGCATTGTCTTTCTTGTCGGGGGCGGGACGTAAGGTCAGGACAGTCCCCTTTATGAGACACACCCCGGGACACCGTGCAACTTTCTGGCAAACTTGAGGATTCAGAAGCGGGACTAGTCGCACTGTGTGAAGTTGGCAATGGGAAAGGTTGTCATTCTGAGAGACACCTTCAAGCCCCTCCGTTTGTCCATGAAACCTTGGATGCCCATTTTGCCCTGTCTTTATCTGAGAGCAGGGGGTGGAATAGCAAATGGGCAAGACTTTGCCCCTCCTCTATCACAAAGCCTTTTCGACAAGGTGTTGGTTCTTCACTTGAGTCTGTCACCTAGTTGCGACTGTTGAGGCAAGGGACGTGGTGAATTCTGATTGTGCAAAGGAAAATATGGAAACGCTTCACGAATTTGCGTGTCATCCTTGCGCAGGGGCCATGCTAATCTTCTCTGTATCGATTCCAATTTATTATATGTGCTGCCGTAGCAAGCACATTGGGCCCACAGTTGGCGGACACCCTTTGAACCCTTTGTGGTTGGCCTCACGCCTTCGCAGTGGTGCAGACCGGAGTGATTCAGTCGCTGTGAACATGACCGCAGTGAGGAATGGCGTATGCTCCTCACCAGAGGCATCGTTTTTGCTATTTGTTGAGAGTGCCAGATATACGGGTCTGGTCATTGAAACGGTTAAGCCGGTGACCTCAAAAGTACCTTGACATGGAGCATTGTCTTTCTTGTCGGGGGCGGGGCGTAAGGTCAGGACAGTCCCCTTTATGAGACACACCCCGGGACACCGTGCAACTTTCTGGCAAACTTGAGGATTCAGAAGCGGGACTAGTCGCACTGTGTGAAGTTGGCAATGGGAAAGGTTGTCATTCTGAGAGACACCTTCAAGCCCCTCCGTTTGTCCATGAAACCTTGGATGCCCATTTTGCCCTGTCTTTATCTGAGAGCAGGGGGTGGAATAGCAAATGGGCAAGACTTTGCCCCTCCTCTATCACAAAGCCTTTTCGACAAGGTGTTGGTTCTTCACTTGAGTCTGTCACCTAGTTGCGACTGTTGAGGCAAGGGACGTGGTGAATTCTGATTGTGCAAAGGAAAATATGGAAACGCTTCACGAATTTGCGTGTCATCCTTGCGCAGGGGCCATGCTAATCTTCTCTGTATCGATTCCAATTTATTATATGTGCTGCCGTAGCAAGCACATTGGGCCCACAGTTGGCGGACACCCTTTGAACCCTTTGTGGTTGGCCTCACGCCTTCGCAGTGGTGCAGACCGGAGTGATTCAGTCGCTGTGAACATGACCGCAGTGAGGAATGGCGTATGCTCCTCACCAGAGGCATCGTTTTTGCTATTTGTTGAGAGTGCCAGATATACGGGTCTGGTCATTGAAACGGTTAAGCCGGTGACCTCAAAAGTACCTTGACATGGAGCATTGTCTTTCTTGTCGGGGGCGGGACGTAAGGTCAGGACAGTCCCCTTTATGAGACACACCCCGGGACACCGTGCAACTTTCTGGCAAACTTGAGGATTCAGAAGCGGGACTAGTCGCACTGTGTGAAGTTGGCAATGGGAAAGGTTGTCATTCTGAGAGACACCATCAAGCCCCTCCATTTGTCCATGAAACCTTGGATGCCCATTTTGCCCTGTCTTTATCTGAGAGCAGGGGGTGGAATAGCAAATGGGCAAGACTTTGCCCCTCCTCTATCACAAAGCCTTTTCGACAAGGTGTTGGTTCTTCACTTGAGTCTGTCACCTAGTTGCGACTGTTGAGGCAAGGGACGTGGTGAATTCTGATTGTGCAAAGGAAAATATGGAAACGCTTCACGAATTTGCGTGTCATCCTTGCGCTACCCGGAGCCCCTTCTTCTCTGTTTCAATTGTTTCATTTCCCAGGAGCCAATGAGACGCCTCAGAGCTTGTTTCAATTCTCGGCCGACCAATCAAAGGATCCACGGTTTGCGCGTCCAATCAGATGCTCTATTTGTTTCAATTCTGACTTCTCGATCCGCCATGTTGGATCACCGCTGGACTGCCGTCTCATTCTAACAATACTCGGCAGACGTAAGTACAACATGTCAACTATGTTGTCTTTTAGTACTACGGCGCATGTTAAACGGTGTTCATTATCAGTGTAAGTAGGGATACTAATACTATTTAAATGTGAGTGAATGGAAATGAGTTCGCCCGCAACAAACCCGCTGCCGATCGATGCTAACGGCGGCCGTGACGTCACACGCGTAACTTTAGCCACGATTTATGGTTATTATTACTAACTTTACTTTAATACGGTGAATGGAACCCGGTCTAAAACCGCGTATGGAAGTTAACGGTCACGTCTCTCCGTGTTTCTGCGGACGTTTAAGTGGTTTATTGGTGACGGAGTTTACGTGACTTATAGCATCGGGGATGCGTCACATGTTGACAACAACGGGTGTTACCAAGTCATAAACGTTACTTCATTACAACGTATAGCAACGTGTTTTATTCATGTGTGTCATTCAACAGTCCAGTAGAATTGTGATATTTGTCATTTATGCCTTTCTACGGACATTTAGGTGGTTTATTGCTGACGGAGTTTACGTGACTTATAGCATCGGGCATGCGTCACATGTTGACAACAACGGGTGTTACCAAGTCATAAACGTTACTTCATTACAACGTATAGCAACGTGTTTTATTCATGTGTCATTCAACAGTCCAGTAGAATTGTGATATTTGTCATTTATGCCTTTCTACGGACATTTAGGTGGTTTATTGCTGACGGAGTTTACGTGACTTATAGCATCGGGCATGCGTCACATGTTGACAACAACGGGTGTTACCAAGTCATAAACGTTACTTCATTACAACGTATAGCAACGTGTTTTATTCATGTGTGTCATTCAACAGTCCAGTAGAATTGTGATATTTGTCATTTATGTGGAATTATTCGTTATTTATGTAACATAATAACAAACAAACATAAAAAAATACATGTGCATATTTAGAGACAGACACATGGTTTCCTCTGATAGGAAGGTTTTAATGACAAGAGTAAAATACTGTGATATAACTGATGTCATAGATGGGAGTGTCACGTGTCATGTCTTCTTCTTTCTCCCGTGTGCTGCTAAAATGTCCATTTGTTTAGATGGAACACCCTACATTCCGGAGGGCCCCTAACGGGACCATCCTGCTCAAGGCCTCCCCAGCGGCCCAGGCCCTTTTCACGCAGCAGCCCCCCAGTGCCCAGGCGCCTTACAGGGCAAAGAAGCCGGAGGAGGTGGACTCGGAGGCCTGGGCTCACGTCGTCTCCGAGGGCGGTGACACCGCCAACGCCGCCCTGGTCCTGAGCCGGTGGAAGGTGCAGTTTGGCCGCTACCAGGGCAGAACCTTCCACTGGCTCCTGGAGAACGACGTGGGCTACAGCGTCAATCTGGTCGCCTCCCACCAGAAGGAGCGCGAGAGGACGCAGTCTGAGTCCCCGCTGATGGCCAACAAGGTCCTTCACAATACTTGGAGACAGTTACAATTAGAGAAATGATGGCATTTAACCTCACTGTGTTATCTCACTTTGTAACCTCACAGGACGCCTTCACCCGCTACTCCTCCGCCTATCCTGACTTCGTGGAGGCTGTCAGGTTCCACCGGGCATTTGAGGAGGCGCGGGCGAATTCCCTCCAGCCCGGTCAGGAGGGACGGGCCCTTGTTGGCTTCGGGGACTTCAAATTTGAGACCCTGGAGAGCCTCTACGAGTCGACGGACAACAAAAAGATCCGGTGAAAAAGATCATTATTATTATTATTATCGTCGCGTTGCTGTGGCGACAATCGAGAATCAGAATCATGTTGAATGTTTGATTTGTGCAGTTTTGTCAAGTACCTGCGGAGGACGTCACCAGCTCCAGGGACGCAGATGGAGAACGCCGTCCAGTATGTGCGCAGCAGAGACAGGCAGAGGATGAAAGCTGCTGCTGGAGCATCTACCTCCTCCACCGCCTCCACCTCCAGCAGCAGCGCAGCCTCTGCATCGGCCGCAAGCCAGAGAGCCACGAGTGCATCACAGTACGTGTTCCTGAAGAAATGTTTGTAACGTTGTGTCATTGTTAATGTCGTTGCCTCTCATTTATCGTGTGTCATAATAGGCCTCTTGGTCCAGCGCTTGTGGGGTTTGTCTCTGGGCGGCGTTCTCTATCTGCTGTGCAGATGCAGGCCCAGGTGAAGAAGCTGGTGGCCCCTAAGCCTGCATCTACAGGTCAGTCCAGCCTCCGTTATTTACTGACGTTCCACTTGATCTACGCTCCTGTTTCCCTGGTTCATCTTCTGTCATCATGTGTCCGCAGCCTCCCACTTCAGCCCCTTCAGACCAGCTCTGTCCTCCCCCCGGTCATCTGTGGAGCCTACAGATGAAGAGCTGGTCAAGGCGGTAGTTGACTTGGAGACCTGTAAGTAAAGAGTAAAGTCATAAACAGGAAACACTTTGCTCACAAACAAAAGTACTTGTATTCATTGTTGACGCTCTTTTTATTTGACTTTAAAAACGTTTCCTCGAATCAGAGGACGAAAGCAGATGACTGGTAAGTTTTGCGTCAGCGGTCTGATGATCATCTCGGATCAATAACCTACCTCTGCAAATAACATCGTCCTTTTCACCGTGCTTTCATCAGCGCCTGGCTAGCTCAACAACATCTGCATGGCTAACTAGTTATCATCTCACCCTCACTTTCGCTCTTTAAAATCACCTCCTGATCTCTTGTGGTGTGTAAATGCAGCTCAATCTTTGTCGGTCTCTCAGCATTAACAGTATTAATTAATAATAATTAATAAATTAATAATAATTAATCTTAATCTCAACCTTTTACGTTACTCAAACATCTCCTTTACCTTCAAGCCTCGATTGCAAAGGCTCCCCTTTTGCGCCTGCCACCACCCGCTGCTGCTGCTGCTGCCGCCGCCGCCTCCTCCTCCTCCTCAGCACCTCCTCCTCCGGGAGCCGGTGTCTCTACTCTGCTGGACGAGCCCACAGACGAGGAGCTGCTGGAAGCCTCGCAGGAGATAGACCCCCTGGTGGAACCTCCTGCAGCCCTCGTCGTGGTTCAGCCTGCCGGGACACCGGCTCCCTCGCCTCCAGCCGCCCCCTTGACGCCGTCCGCACCCGTCGCCGTGGAGGAACGGGAGGAGTTCCTCCCTCCCCCTCCATCTTCTGCCAGTGAGGTGAGGCAGTCTCTCTAACACGTGAGGCCGCAGGTGTCCCTGCTGACTGTAGATATTAAAATGGTTTTGTGTGTGTGTGTTGTCGTCTCACCAGTTGCTGCCTCAGTCCTGGAGGGCAGCTCTCACTGTGGAGCAGCAGCAGTGGATCGGCCGGGTGCTGTTTACCAGGGACAGCCAGGGGAGGCCTCGGCTCGTGCGCGAGCTCAACCTATGGTGGACCCCCCCCCAAACCCGGCCGGTCTACAGCCAGCCTCCCGCATCCCCCGACCCCTTCTTCGCATGTCGGCTGTTCCTCTGGATGCCACACCGGCTTTGGCGTCTGCAGCTGACATGCCCCCAGCCTTCGTGCTCTGGGTCCCTGATGAAGGCTGGGCTGTACAGGACCATCCGGAGGGTCCTGGACATCGACGGCTGGTACCTCATGGCCACCGAGTACCTGGAGTGCCGTCGGTGTAAGAAGAAGGTCGGGGGGTGGTCACAGGGCATCATCAGGCAGCTGTCCCCCACCCACAGCTGCCAGTTCCCAGCTGTACTCACGTACAAGTAAGGAGGCATTTCTTCACCATTTGTCTGTGTTGAACGTCCCGTTGGAGGTGCAGACTCGGCTCTACGTGATGTTTGTGTCGTGCAGGCTGTCCTGTGACATGAGGGTGGTGATACAGCTGAGGTCCCGCACTCTGGGGAACAGTGCCAACCAGCTGTACAACACCCTGCGGGAGCAGCACTCGGACGCCTGGATGCGGAGAGCCATCAAGTACCTCGGCGTGTGCGAGCCATTCCTGGCCTTGTGCTCGGCGAGGGGGCAGTTTCCACCTCCGCCCGAGATGCCCCCTCTGCCATCCCCCGTCTGGCTGCTGACCGCGTACAGCTACGACGTCCTGGCGCGGCTGGATGAGTACAAGGCCAGGATCACGTCCACCTTCGGGTCCATCATAAAGATGGACTCCACCAAGAAGGCGAGTGCAGTCTGTCAGTTTCTTTTCCTTCCAGCTGCTGTGTGTTTCTCACATTAACTCTCAGAATCTCTCTGCAGGTGACAAAGAAGCTCGCGGGTATCGCCTCCGACACGGCCGCCTGGGCTACCAACGTCGGCAATGAGCACGGGCAGGTCCTCATGAGCGTCCTCACCTCCACCGAGAGCGCCGGGGGCCTGTCCGGGATGGCGGCCGGCTTGATGAGGCGGTACCGACTCGCCGGGGTACCTCCCCCCCAGCTGATCTACGTGGACCGCGACTGCTGCAACAGGGACGGCGTGTCAAAGACAGCTGTCTTGTTTCAGGTGTGAAAAGGACACTGTTGACAGTTGTGCTGCATCAGCACCGTGGCTGGAGAGTTTAACGTTTTGTTTGTTTCGCAGGAGTGGGAGCATCTCGTGGTGAGACTGGACATCTGGCACCTGATGCGACGCTTCGCATCAGGTGTCAACACCGAGAGCCACGAGCTGTACCCCACCTTCATGAGGCAGCTGTCTAACTGCATCTTTGAGGTGGACGCCGGAGATGCACGCCGTCTCGCAGAGGCTAAGCGGTCCCAGCTGGAGGGGAAGCACGGGATGGTTGGACTGACGGACGCCGCGGTGAACCTGAGGATCTCCAAGGAGGAGTGGAGGCTCCACGTCCGCCGTAGGACACGCGGGCCTGAGGAATCGGCCCTCCTCATCCAGGAGCTCCTCGACACCTTCGGTGGACCGGCAGGACGCAACAACCTGGGCATCCCGTTGCTCAACGCTCTCCGCATCCAGGAAATATGGAGTACGCAGAGGACCCACCTCAGCTGCATCCAGGACCCGCCAGGTGTGCAGCTGTACACCCAGACGGGCCGGCTGACCAAGGGAGGAGTCAGCCTGCCCGTATATCGCTGCGCGAGGGGCTCCACCTCTCTGGAGTCCTTCCACCTCCACCTTAACCGGTTCATCCCAGGTACCGGCGTGTGTCTCGCGGCTCGTGACAAAATGTAATCTCTATTTGAACTTTAAGAAAATGCGAACTCGTGTCTGATCCAAACCCCCCTTCCCCCAGGGACCCGGGCCAGCGCCAAGCACTTCCAGGCGTTCCTGGTGGATGGACTGGTGAGGTGGAACGAGGACCGCGCAGGGGCAGCTGCACCACCACCGGCTGCAGACGAGGGACGGCTGGGACCTCTGCACTCCTACAGTGGCCACCTCAAGCACGTCCTTAACCAGAAGAGCCAAAGAGTGCTTGGTCTTCAGATGGTTAAGGACTTCACCGAGCCGGCTGAGTACACAGGTATGCGATGTGAAAACACCTCATCTCGTAACTGACAGCAAAACGAGCCGCTACTGAATCCTTCTCTGTGTGACAGGGGAGCTCATCGGAGTGGAGTACCTGTACCAGCAGACCGGCAAAGTGCTTGAGGACGTCAGCCTGGACCCTGACACTCCGGACGAGGCTCCTGCCATCGAGGCGCTGGAGGAGGATGAGGGCATCGAGGAAGACGTAGAGGACCCTACCGTCTTCGGGCCCGATACTCCGTCCTCCAGCGTGGCAGCAGCCCGGTCAGGTGATCCAGCTGACGCACCGTCTGAGCCATCCCGTTCGGGTCAAGTTGCCCCTCCTGAGGCCCCAGAGGTTCAGGACCCTGATCCCCAGCAGCCCTCCTCAGACTCTGAAGTAAGTTCACATACTGACGATTGTGAGATAGAATCTCTTACTGCACTATTTGCTTACGGCCTTTGTTCCTCCTCGTTTCTTCTCAGGAGGACATCCAGGGTCCTGATGGCCAGCCCGGGTACCGGCACATCCTGAAGCTGGCCCAGGCGCTGGTGGAAGGGAGGAACCTTCTGGGGCTGTCTGAGAGTAGGGTAGACCGACTCATCCTGCTTTGAACTCGCTTGGCGGAGCAGGACAAGCGGCGAGTCGACTACCCTCCCAGATACCGGGAGAGGCAACCAAAGGGGCGGTTCAAGGCAGCGAAGGGGAAGAACACCTCCTGTGCTGGAAAGGAGAGTCTCCAACGGTGAGACTCCTTTAGAGCAGGAATCTTTCCTCTGGTACATATCTGCTGTGTACTGACCCACACTCTGCTCCTCGTGACTCTTTCAGCTGCCTCCCCGGGGTCAACTCGGGGCCTTCCACCTGGCCCAGCGCCAGTCGCCTGGTGGAGGCCATTTGCACTTGAAAACTCCGGCCAGCGCCTCCAGAGAGCACTTCTGCCTGACGGAGTCCGCATCGGTCCCGGGGACGTTGAATAAAATGAGGGGCGGCGGCAGACACTCAGAGCAGCAGAGGCGGCAAAGGCCGGTTGAGAGTCTGGAGACTCCGGCGTCGATATGAGCGAACTGAACCAGGCTCCTGCCCGGAGGGCCGTGACTCTGGAGCGCAATGCCACTTATCTCAAAAGCAGTAAACGTGCACCTCCATAGTAAAACACCTCCAACCATCTGAGTTTGTATACACAAGATAGATTCTGTGACACAATACTAATTTATCTTTTAATTGCTTCATGTTCTATATCGATGTTGTGGTGCCAATCCAAGTTGTTGGTAGAAGGCTAATTCATACCACCGGATTGGCGACGGTTGGTAAAGCTGTACAAAAGTCCAAAGCATGTGAATTAAGCAGTTTTCTTCTAGCAGACTTTAATGCCTCAAACATAGTTTAAGAAATAAATAAAATACTTTTGGATATCATGTCATCAAAAGCCACACGATTGAGATTAATGAGGTCAAACACCTTCATAACGAGCACTGTGGAATTTTAACCGGCCGTTGGGATTAACAGACAGTTTACAAGGCTAACTGAACACGACTGAATGTCTCTTGTTTTAACTGTCACCTGATTTGTATGTACGTGTTCTCATGTTTATTTTTTAATTGAAGTGAAGAATTTCAGAATATTATAATAATAAATAAAGAAATAACTCATGACCGTGGTATTTTTTGCATTTCAATATATACACTATATATATTATATACGTATAACTATTTTCTATGAATCCGTTTTTTATGTATTATAGTCTATATACTGTATAAAGTTACTGTTAGATAATAATAATCTCTTCAATCTGAATTACAGTCACTTCTAGTTTCCGATATTAGTTTTGACTTTTCAATCAAATGTACCGCTATAGTATTATATATATATATATTTTTTTTTTTATTTTGGGTGGAAATGTAATTAAAAAGTTGAACTGAAAATATCCTCCAACCTTTCTAGAGGCCTTTACTTAACAGAAACCCACATATGCTTTAGAAGTAAATAATAATCAGCATGAATGATGCGTCTGCTTTCTACCAGCTCACTATGTGTGATAACAGAAACTACTTTCACAATGTACATACACAAAGCTTGATTCTTGCAGAATTGATGAAATATGTAAACATCATTTTCCAGCTAAGAGGACGAAAGGTCAGCACCAGTGAGGGCACATGTGAATAGTTGATGTATTAGCAGCACCATGTTGCCATTTCTTGAGCACTTTAGATGTTTTCTGATAACTCCAGAAACACAAGGTCTAACATAGAACTGGATTGAAAAGAATCGGCCCAAAGATAGCTTCTGTCATTTAAAGTGGTTAATATTGTATAGCATTATTCAAATGATACTGGTGGCTTGTATTTTTGGGGTTGCACTTTATCTACATTACTACATTGTATTACAAGTTTCCATAAATGCTTGATTCATTACCTTACAAATGATTAATTACCTTATTCAATATGTGCTCATTTTCATACACTTGCATAGTGGCCACAACAGCAGGTTGTTAGCCGTGTACATCCGTCCAGTAACCTTTTACTAGTGTAAATCACTTCAGTTAAATCTCAAAACTCACAAAAACAATTTAACATCCCACAAATCACATGCAAAATTAAACGTGCCATTCAAAATAATATAGTTAATTCTCCCAAAAAAAAGTGTTCAAATGACCCACATTCAAACACTATGATGTCAATAGATATTTCTGAGAACCAATTGAAGGGACGTAAGACAAACATAATTGTCTAATTGTTTGTTTAATAAAAAGGCGTTGGACTAAAGAAGATCTGTATGAAGCACATGCAGTCATGGTCACATGACCTGTTGAGGGAACCAGAGAGAGAGTTTGCCCCCCGGTCTTCCCCTCAGTGCATGTTTATGTATCTGCTACTCCACGTTCCCATAAAAAACCCCACTATTATGCATAGCTGATTTAAAACGTTATTTGTGATTCTAATGAAATAGGAATAAAGATGAAGATCTCGCTCGTACATGAGCTCATAGCGTGTCATTGGACTGATACCAGCTACAGACCAAAACGATTCATAGACTGACTTAGACTACGAGCAGATCATTGACAAACATCCCTCCTCACTGTCTCTGCAAACCCCACACACCCTCACTTGTACCTGCCCCCATGGGTAGCTAGGATGATTGACAGGTTCCACAGCTTCACATGTCATGAGACCTTCACTGACCCCCTGAACTCGGTAAATTAAAAAACAATTACTAGTATCCAACAACTTCTTCCTGTAAACACATTAACGCTTATAAAATAACAGGTTGACATTAAATATGTTACTAGTTATAATATCTTTATTATCTAATTATTGCATGGGCCTGCACCAGAGCTCAATTAATATATCCATATATAATGATATAAAGAACATGTTCAGACATTGTGACTGAGGATGCATTCCTATGTTCAGAAATGGTTGGATAAAACATTAGAACACACAGACACAAAATGGACGTGCAGGATTCCATGGTTGCTATGGTCCTTCCGATGATTCTATGGAATCCTCATTTGAACATAAACAAACCACTCAAGCAGTCACAAAAAGTGTTTCCTCAAGTTCAGCTCAACGATTTCTTGCTAACAGCCTCTTCTACTGCGGACTTCTTCCTTCATTACAAGAAATAAAGAGTCACAGAGACTGACCAGAGCGACTAAAGTAACTTTCATCATGGAAAATGTGAGATTTGAACCCTTTGAATGTCAACAATGTTTTCTGTTTTACCGTTGAGACCTTCAGACCCCTAGAAGTGACGTGATAATCAGCTCTGCTATGAACACCCCCCCCCCTATACGACTGGTCTCAGCTGACAGCTGTACTGTACCTGCTTGATATTATAACTATTTAGTCAAAACCAAAGACCACACATGTCTTCAGCGAGTTTCTCCAGCAGCTTTAAATGCAGAGTCTTTTCACTTGATCACATGTTCCTTAATTCATGTTATTAATAGTTAAGTGTCGGTCCGCTAACACTGAGGCACATCCAACCTGTCCACACGGCGTACTTGTGTGAGGAACAGGTGTTCACAGCGGCCCTGCAGCTCAGGCTCCTACAAACTTCATCTGGTCTCTGTGAACTCTTTCGATGGTTGAATGTGCTGATAGAACCTCTGCGCGTGTGGAAATACACGTCATGTTTTAGGGGAAATATCAGTTGGTTTTCACAGTGAATTGAGAAATGAAACGTTCTGCTTTGACCGTACTTGTAAAGCTTCCTTCTAACACAAGTCTATGTTGTTGCAGTGTGACGTTCCCGTTCTCCTGACCGACAACCAGACAGTAAGGAGAACCTCTGCTCGCCAGGCAGAGAGCGCGTCGAGGCCCTCAGCCTGGAGACAGTGTTCATGCTGCAGGGACAAGCAGGTGAGACTTGTTCTTTCAAACTGTTCACAATGTAATCCTCAGGACCCGGAGTGAGTCAGTGTACAAACAAGCAAAGAGATTGCATATTAAAAATCCTTCAAAATGGACAGAATCTGTGAAGGCTCTCTGCAGTGCATGTGATGCAGAGGTTTCTCTGTGACAGTGTGTTGTTCAGTATGAAGTTCACTCACACCCTTTGATGTGTTGCTGACCAGGGGCCGACTCTAAAGAGAAAGCGCCGGCCCTCTGCTGCTCCCGGAGACCTTCACCAGAAGAGGAGGCGCACCTCCGGAGCCCGTCCCCTCCCTGACCATCCAGAGGTGTTGGACTGTGTCCCCGCTGTGCAGCCCTCCTCAGCTGGTGACCATTCAGGGTCTTTGGATTTGGTCCGGAAGCCTGGAGCGACCATCCCACCTGCTGACCTGCCCCGAGTCTCCTGTGTGGCCCCCAGCCTCCAGCCCTCCACTGCTCCACTGCACGACGGCCCTCTGAACATATTCAACCTCCCAGTGGAAGAATACCAGCAGCTGTACCACGAGGTTGTTGATGAAATGCTGAGGTGCGTTGTGTCAACAATCGGACACATAATAAGCACATTCTTCCAATCACAACTAAATGTATCGCTCAATATTCCCTCACAGCAACATTTGAACCACGTGTGACGTTGTGATTAAACTCGTTGTTTTTACCTCTCAGGTTCAAGAGCGGCCGTCTGCGTCCTTACACTCTGAGCCTGGGGCGCGTCATCAAGCAGAAGCTGTGGCAGAGACTGGACCGTCCCCTGTTCACCGAAACAGTCAACGGAGACGGACTGGTGCACGTGGATGTCTCCTACGGGGTTGGAGTCTTCCCTCCCCTCCACCAGGTGGACATTTTGGGGGAGCCAAAGCCAGGGTCACCACAGAAGAGCTAAGAACTCAAAAACCCTCAATTAAGATCACATCTGTATATTGCAGATGAGCAAAAGTTGTGTGATTTTAAGTATGAAAAACACCGTACGAAGATGGTTCGCACGGTGGTGCCCGCCAGGAGAGAAACTCCTCTCCACCTCCAGCCCCCGTCGTTGTCCTGCAGATTCCAGCTGACATTAGCTTTCTGCTGCCTCCACCCTCTGCCAGCAGCTTTTACCACGCTGCCCCACTATCCACCTGCTGATCGGGGCTGGGGCTTTGTAGCTGGAGATGTATTTCCACCTACAAACTGTGGGGAAAGTGTCTCTGGACAATTTGCATCAACTCACATTGACTACAATTCAACATGCTCCACCACCTGCAACCTACCCTCCACCTAAAGAGCCTCTGCCACAGACTTGCTGTTGCTGCCTCCACCGGCAAGTTGTGGCAGCTGGAACCTTCAGCCTCCTCTAGCAATCTGCAGTTGCTGCCTCCAACTGCATGTTGCTGACAGCTGCTCGCAAACCTCCACCTTATATAGACTCAACCCCTAAACTGCTGTTACCACCTCCAACTGAAGGTTGCTGGCAGTCAGCTGCAATCAAACCTCCACCTACGTTCTCTGCCAGTGACCTGTTGATGCCGCTTCCACCTAAACATCCTGTAATAGAGCTGCCTATAAAGCATCCACTCAGACTCTCCGTCAGATCCTGCAAGTGCTGCTTCCACCTGCATATTCTGGCAAAAAGCTGCTATTTAGTCGTCCACTTTCAGCCTCTGCAGCAACCTGCATTTGCTTCTTCCACCTGTAGATTGTGCTAAATAGCTAGAGACCAACCTCCATCTAAATAACCTCTACCACAAACCTATTGCTGCCTCTACCAGCAGATATTGGCAGAAAGCTGGAACTGAGCCTCCACCCTCTGCCTCTGCCTGCACCTGCAGGTTGCCGGCAGGCAGCTGCAACCAAATCTTCACCTACAGCCTCTGCCAGTGACCTGTTGATGCCGCCTCCAACTGCAGGTTGCTGGCAGACAGCTTCAACCAAACCTCCACCTACGTCCAACGACCACAGTTGCACCACCTGCAGTCTCTGCCAGCCTACACCTAAAATCCTCTGCCAACAACTTGCGGTTTTTGCCTCGAACTGCAGTCTGCTTGCAGACAACTGCAACTAAATTCCACCTTAATAGCCTCTGTGCAGTTGCACCCTCCACTTGCAGATTGTGGTTGAGGGGCTACAACAAAACCTCCACCGCCAGCTGTACCTAAATATCCAGCCTCTGCCACTAATCTGCTGTTACATTCTCCACCAGCAGATGTTGGCAGACAGCTGCAACTGAGCCTGAATCTTCCGCCTCTACCAGCACCTGCAGTGTCTGCCTAAAACGGTTGGTTGTTGGCAGTCAGCTGCAACCAAATCTCCACCTAAATAGCCTCTGACCTGCTATTGCTGCCTCCAGCTGTAGCTGCCTCCAGCATGGCCTACGCCAGTTACCTCTGTATGCCGCCTCCACCTGAACATACTGATGAACCCTAACTCTACCTCCCAAACCTCCACCTTCACGCATCTGCCGCAACCTGCAGTCACCGCCTCTAACTGTAGTATGCTGGAAGACATTTGTATAAAGATGCCTTTGAAGCCTCAACGTAAAGCCTTTGTCAGATCGTGTAGGTGCCGCCTCCACCTGCAGGGTATGGCAGGCAGATGCCGTTAAATCCTCCACCTTTAGCCTCTGCGACAATGTGCAGTTGCCTACTCCACCTGGAGACTTTTGTAGAAAGCTGCAGCAGAACCTCCATCTAAAACCACTGCCAGTTACCTATGCATTTTGCCTCCACCTGAAGATCCTGGTGATAATCTACCTTTCAAACCTCCACCTTCAGGCCCCTGCCACAAGCTGCTGATGTTTCATCCATGTGTCCAACCTCATCAAGATGCAACCAAAGCTTCACCTAAATAGCTTCTACCACAAACCTGCCATTCACCGTCTCCACCAGTAGATTGTGGCAAACAGCTGAAACCGAACCTCCACCTAGAGTCACCTACAGTTACTTGTTGGCACCTAAACGTCCACCTTCCTGCCTCTGGCAAAACCTGCTGCTCACCACCAACGGCAGTTTGTGCAGAGTGCTGCCTTTCAAATCTTCAACTACAGCCTCTGCCAGAATCTACATTTGTTCCCTCCACCTGCGGATTCTGGCACCTGCCGTTCCTCCACCTACGACCTCTAAATTGTCTTACTCCTGAGAAACTTCATCCACAACTCCCATTGAGCCAGAATTCAACGTGCTCCAGCGCCTGCATCCTCTGCGATGCTACACCTGAAGCCTCTCCCAGCTGCAACCGAACCTCCTTCTAAATAGCTTCTGCCAGCAACCCACAGTTGCGCCCTCTACCTGTAGATTGCACAGCCTCTGCTTACCTGTGGAAGCCTCCACCTGAAGATCCTTGAAGATCGCTAGAGCATCAACCTCCACATACAACCATCACCGTGCACCTACAACTCTGCCTGAACTATCTGCCAGCCAACTATACGTCCTCCGATACAACATTAACCAAAGATAAGTTCAGCTTTCTCCTGCTGGTCTGAACTCAATCAGTGACATCAGGCTGATGCGTAGCAGAGTGATAGAATCCTGTAGAAGTCATTTAGTTAAAAAAGGATGTTTTATATTTGAGTCTTATAAAATACCTGGAGTAAACTCTTGATGAAATGAAAGACCTAAAATGTTAGAAAGTCTGTTTACTTTATGAATTTAAACACTCCTTCAATTGGCATTGGTTTCATAATTTGAGGGTGTTTTGGTGATGCCCGGTGACTTAAGACATTTTTTTGTGGTTTTCTCCAGTTGTTGTTGGACTCCACACGTCCAGATGTACCAGGAGCTGATCGAGAGCCGGGATCATTCCTTCTACCACAAGAGCCATGTTCCAGAGATGCTTATTCCTCCTCCACCTTCACCACCAACTCCTGCTCCTTGTCTGCACTTTTGCACTGTTGTTTAATAAATTCCATCATTGCTTTTGATCATTAGTTTTATTTAAATCTGAATTCATTTACAGAAAACTGATACTTTAATGTTCAAGATCCAATTGAGTAATTAGGAATGACATTTTTTCATCCATTTTCTGTTTGTTGGTGTATCTTCCACAATACACGATACCAAAAGCAAGCAGTAGTTTTAATTTGCATATTAAAACATTTCTGATAACAAACAAAACAGAATAGTCTTATGCAAAATAATATAATTGAGAAGTTTCATGGTTATTATTATTACTTTCATACTTTGTAGAATTCTATTGTCTTCTACAAGGGGTTGAGAGGGCATTACAATCTGCACAACGGTATTTTTCCTCCTTTCTCACCTCTTGGTCATCTAACTTAGACAGTGTAGGATGTTAGAAATAAACTGACGACCCGGTTCATAAAATTAATAAAATGCATATAGTGTACACCACAATACAGCCATGAGTCTGAAACTGTGTAATCAATACAGTAATGACAATATTGTAAAACCACTGTAATTCTGCAGCTGTAATAGAATAATACCAATGTACAGCTATGATTGTATTTAATGTAATGTAATCAACTGGAATGCATGTAATACTTGCACAACAACTGATATTGACTGATGCTCATTCGAAATCCGAGTTACATTAAACTCACCAGAAGACCACTCCCAGAGGTGTGGACACTAACTTTCACACTTTTACGCATTGGCATAAATACCTGTAGGCAACCATTGTTCTCGAGTTCGCTGGCGGAGGCAACAAACAGGCACTAGGAATGGTCAATGGGCCCTGTGGCCTGTTGGTTGCAGAGACCAGCGGCTCCTCAGCTGAGATGTTCTTTTTACCACAACACCCTTTCTTTTATTAAATACATTTGATTTTAACCTTTCGATCAGCGATGCCCTCTATCCGTCCAGCGTTTCTTCATTTAGAACACAACAACTGCCAACACTGTTTACGGCTAGCCTTCCTCTTGCTTCCAGAGACGCATGACCTTCAAATCCCCTGCCATTCTTCAAAAAGCAACAATTCCCTCGACACACCGTCTGAACTGACGCCCCGGCGTGACGGCTCAGATGCTTCTCTAATGGTCGAGATTACTCTCGCTAAAGATAGGTCAAAGGGCCGGCTCTCATTGTTGAAGTACTTAATGCAGCAGGGCCGAGATCCTCCTTGTGGCACTGGCCCTCAATGGCAAGTCTGTGATGATCGTCAGTGAATCTGTGACGACCTTCAGTGAATCTGTGGCATCTCCGTGGCAGGCGTCACAACATTGAGCTGAGGAGCCGAGTGGGCAGAGCCACATCACCAGAGTCCGGATGTTGTTTGTACGACAGGTCAGTTGCCATAAATCAGTTTTATGATTATGGTTGAGGCACCTGAGCCACACGTTCTCTTACAGCAGGGGTGTCAAACTAGTTTTAGGTTAGGGCCAGACCTTTGATCAGTGGGCCAGACATGTAAAATCATAGACGATGGTTCGGTCGACACTACCACTGCCATCTAGTAATTTTATATTTTGTATTTAAACTCCTTAAACATGAGGTCTAAACATTGATTCTGCCCCAACCGAGTCTCTGTAATTTTACAATTTTTAAGTATGAATTAGGTTTTTGGTAGCACTCCATGATGACTCAACATAATGAAGCATTAATCAAAGGCTTATTATTGAGTAATTTAGTAACAGATACGGCGTGTGGAGCGGACCTACCCGGACTCCTTAGTTATTGTCCTTGGGGACTTTACAAAGGAAATCTCAGCCATTAACTTCCTAGATACAAACAGTTTATTAAATGCGAAACCAGAGAGCAGAACACGCTGGATCACTGATACACCACAGTAAAGCCTAGTTTATGGTTGTGCATTTTCCGAGACCCAAGGACACGCATTAGGAATGACATTTGACCTCTTGACCTCTTGCGTGCTTTTTTACCTCTCCTTGCGTGCGTCGACCAATTTTTCTAGACTAGCAACAAAGCCTACGCAAGCCTCAGGGAGCCCTCAAGACGGCATTCTCTACGTCGTCTTCGACAAAACACGTTACTCCACTTATTGTTCTGGAGGTGAATTGCTGGGATGTTTTCAAGACTGGTACCAACAGTCTGGATGAGTTCTCAGAGGCTGTGGCTTCTTACATCGGCTTCTGTGAGGACAGCTGTGTTCCATGATGCACCTCGGTGAGTTACAACAACGACAAACCCTGGGTCACAGCGGAACTCAGAAAACTACGCCTGCAGAAGGACCAGGCATTTAGGAGCGGGAACAAAGTCTTGTACACAGAGTCAAAATACAGGTTCAGCAAGGCGGTGAGAGATGCTAAACGACTGTACTCTGAGAAACTCCAACAACAGTTCTCAGCAAGTGACTCTGCTTCGGTTTGGAGAGGCCTTAAACACCTCACAAACTACAAGCCAAAACCCCCCCACTCCATGAATGACCTTCGCCTGGCAGACGAGCCGCTGCGACAGCTGCACTGCACGTAAGAGGCCTGCAGGCACATCTCATGCCCAACTCCAACAGTTTCCAGCAGGATGCCCCATGGAGAGGGTGGGGATTGATGTCCTCGGACCCTTTCCCCGCACTGAGAGAGGTAACCGGTACATCCTCACTGCTATGGACTACTTCACCAAGTGGCCCGAGGCATACAGCCTCCCAGACCAGGAGGCAGAAACTATAGTGGACGCTCTTGTGGGAGGGATGTTCAGCAGATTTGGCACACCTGAAATAGTCCACACAGACCAGGGCAGGAACTTTGAGTCCCGTGTCTTCTCTGCCATGTGTGAAAAACTTTGCTCACACAAGACTCGCACTACACCACTTCACCCACAGAGCGATGGACTAGTTGAAAGGTTTAACCGCACGCTGGCGCAACAGCTGGCCATAGTAACGGCAAAACACAAACTGGGATGACCATGTTAGTCTTGTGCTGATGGCCTACAGATCTGCTCCTGCCCTCCTCATGCTAGGCAGAGAGATGCGGACGCCAGCCAAGATGATGGTGGGGAAGTTCCTGGTGGATGGACTGTTGAGGAGGAACGAGGACCAGCGGCAGCTGTACCACCACCGGCTGCAGACGAGGGACGGCTGAGACCTCTTACAGTGGCCACCTCAAGCACGTCCTTAACCAGAAGAGCCAAAGAGTGCTTGGTCTTCACGTGGTTAACGACTTCACCGAGCCGGCTGAGTACACAGGTATGCAATGTGAAAACACCTCATCTCATAACTGACAGCAAAACAAACCGCTACTGAATCCTTCTCTGTGTGACAGGGGAGCTCATCGGAGTGGAGTACCTGTACCAGCAGACCGGCAAAGTGCTTTAGGACGTCAGCCTGGACCCTGACACTCCGGGCGAGGCTCCTGCCATCGAGGCGCTGGAGGAGGATGAGGGCATCAAAGAAGACGTAGCGGACCCTACCGTCTTCGGGCCCGATACTCCGTCCTCCAGCGTGGCAGAAGCCCGGTCAGGTGATCCAGCTGACGCACCGTCTGAGCCATCCCGTTCAGGTCAAGTGGCCTCTCCTGAGGCCCCAGAGGTTCAGGACCCTGATCTCCAGCAGCCCTCCTCAGACTCTGAAGTAAGTTCACATACTGATGATTGTGAGATAGAATCTCTTGCAGCACTATTTGCTTACGGGCTTTGTTCCTCCTCGTTTCTTCTCGGGAGGACATCCAGGGTCCTGATGGCCCTGGGTGTCTTCCCTGGTCCTGCCGGTCCGCCTCCTCAAATTCCCAGAGAAAGTAGGAGCACTGCCTGGAGGAAGAGGAAGGCGGACGAGGCAGCGGCTGCTGCAGGTCAGGTGTTGCCACCCAAAAATCCCCGTCAGCAGCACCCGTACAGAGTAAATGCATACAACAGATCTCTGATGAAAAAAGAGGTTGATTATTTACTGGAGAATAACTTGGCACGACCCAGCTCCAGTCCATGGAGTTCTCCGTGCTTATTGGTTCCAAAGCCTGACGGTACTGTCCGATTCTGCACAGATTATCGTAAGGTAAACCATGTAACGGTGCCTGACTCATTTCCTATGCCCCGCGTAGATGATTGCGTGGATACCATAGGATCCGCTCGCTATGTCACAAAGTTGGATCTATTGAAAGGTTATTGGCAAGTTCCCCTTTCACCAAGGGCTTCTGCCATCAGTGCTTTTGCAACTCCTGATAATTTTGCGCAATATTTTGTGATGGCTTTCGGGATGAGAAACGCTCCGGCCACTTTCCAGAGGTTGGTGAGTAGTGTGTTCAGTGGTGTGCCTAACTGTACTGCATATTTGGATGATGTGGTAATACACTCGTCAGAGTGGACTGCTCATGTGGACTCTCTAAGAACAGTGTTTCAGCGACTAGCGGATGCATCTCTGACACTAAACCTTGCAAAATGTGAGTTTGGAAAGGCAACTGTGACCTACTTGGGTAAACAGGTGGGCGGAGGCCAAGTGCGACCCTTGGAGGAAAAGATCGCAGCAATCACGTCTTTTCCAGTACCCACCACTCGGCGGGAATTACGGCGATTCCTCGGAATGACTGGTTACTACAGAGGGTTCTGTAGGAACTTCTCTTCCGTTGTAGCCCCGATGACTGACTTGATCAGTCCATTGGTAAAATTTGTCTGGTCAGATATGTGTCAAATCGCTTTTGAATGCTGTAAAGCGCTATTATGTAATGCCCCAGTACTAAGTGCTCCTGATTTCAATAAATCTTTTTCCATTGAAGTCGATGCGAGCTCTATTGGTGCTGGGGCAGTTCTAACTCAGATGGATTCTGAGGGTTTGGTCCACCCTGTGGGATTCTTTTCAAAGAAATTCAATAGTGCCCAAATGCGCTACTCGACCATAGAACAGGAGACGTTGGCTTTGCTGCTCGCGCTCCAATTTTTTGAGGTTTATGTTGGGTCTAGTGCGGAGCCTGTGATGGTTTACACGGACCACAATCCGCTGGTGTTTCTGCATCGCATGCACAATCACAACCAACGACTAATGCGTTGGTCCTTGATTATCACCAATTACAACCTGGTGATCCACCACAAAAAGGGCACCGAAAATGTGTTTGCAGACGCTCTGTCCCGGGTGTAACCATTGTGGGTTAGTGGTTGCTAAGTTTTGTTTGGCCTTTATTTTTTTCTGGATTTGACTTCAAGCTGGGTTTAACCCATGAACTGAGGTATCGTCAGCCACGGGCTGACTCTTTATGGGGGGGAGTGTTACGTACAGTGCTATAAGGGAATAGGTCTACAGATATGGTGTTCTTTTTTTGTGTTGTTGGTTTGTGTTTTTGTCTCCCCCTTCTGTTTCCATTCTCTCACTTCACAGATGTGCACACCTGGTCCCCCTCATCCAATCACCACACCTGTTCCAGATCTCCCATCAACCATTCCTTTTTATATAGTCAATGTTTGTTTTCAGTAGAGGAGGGCTATTTTGTGTTGAGCTGGGCTCTCG